ACTGGGATCTCCAACTCTCACTTAATTAAATTCTCCTTCCCCCAATACCTATTAAGAAAATAGAATGTACAAAGAAGACGGGGTCTATTTTTTGCAGATTTTTTTCTATGGACTATTTCTTTTTTCTCTATAATGCGGACGGAACCTTGCGGACTCCTAACCACAATCAGTAACAAAAATCTCATGTACAAAGCAATAGAACCTTATATTCCATGAAAATCTTTCTCCTCGGAGAATTGAAAATTCACCACTAAAAATGACAACAACGCCTCTCCAGTCTACTCTCATCGAAGAAAAATCTCAGATACCCCGTTTCCCTCACAACTCTTAAAAATACCCCTTCCCTAGTCGAAAAGTCCCAAAATTAAAAATAAAAACCGTTGAAGGCTCCCAAAAACGAACAACTTTATCAATTCCAGAACTAGCAATTAAACATCTATCAGGATGTGGTTGAACACAATTAACGGTAAAATTATCTCCCTTAAAGAAATAATTGAGAAAAAAATATTTAAAAAAAATTCAAACCTTTAAAACTTTAACAACTTTTTCAGTTTTTCTTTCCCAAATAAATATTGAGCCACAATCTTAAAAGAAATTTTTTTATACACTTTTAAAGTCAAAATAAATATTTGCGGATAAAACTTGCGGATCTTTAGCCGCAAATTCTTATGAAATTTTTTTGAAAAGAATAGCCAAACCCAACTTCTAGGAATTCAATTTCGAGTTTAAAATACAGTTAAAAATTTGCAAAAAAAATCAAAGATGCCAAAAAGAGAGAAACAGAGGAATTTGCCCAACAAGAGGAAGTGACGACTTACAAAATCAAATCGAAAAACACTTTGTGACCTATTTGGTTTGTATCCCCATTTTTTAAGCCTCAGATTGTTGTCTAACAAAAACTAGAGAGAAAAATCCCTCCTACCAATCTCCTCTAAATAAATAAAAAAAGATAAAAGTTAACTAACCACTTCCAGCAACAATATATTGATCATCCCCACCAAACCAACTAGCTTCTTTAATATCTGTATTTATATTTAAATGTCCAGTAAATCTATCAATATAATCTCTAAAATCATTTAAAGTCCAATTTAAAGATTCATCTGTTAAAAAATAATTTTTAAAGAAAAATAAAAAAATTTAAAAACCTTCTTCTTCACTAATTTTTCCAATAATTTGTTCAGCAGAGGTATCTTCAGGATGTAATTTTTGATAAAATGAGAGGCACTCTTTTGCAAGCTTTAAAAATAGAGGAAAAGGTAAAAATATAAATATTAAATTAATTTATAAAAATTAAAAAAAATTAGTTTTTGTCCGCAAAAATTTTTGTTGTCCGCAAGTTTTATCCGCAAAAATTTTTTTGTCCTTACAATCAGAAAAGCTTTTAAGGCTGTCATTCGTTGAGTTCATGTAACCCTAGTTATGTAACCTTTAAGTAACCTAAAGTAACTATATCTCTTCCCTTACCTTATAAAGAAATATTTTTGCGGACAAAACTTGCGGACTTCGACCACACAAAAAATATTTAAAAAAAACAAACGTTAAATTGATTCAAGGCATACAAATTTTTAATTAAATTTTGATGAGCCATTTTACATTTTGGATTAATTCTCAGAACAGATAAATAATCTTTAATTGCATCAATTAAATCCCCTTTCCAACTTCTTTCCATAAAACAGCGTCCTCTAGTTAATAAACATTGAATTATTAAATTTGAATTATTTAAAATGTGTGAAGATATTCGATCAGAAATAATTTTGTTGGTTGAGGAAAGAGTGAATATTTGTTTTGATAAACTTAAAAAAATAAAAATTTCTTGGGTAAAGTTTCAAAAGTCCGTAAGTTTTATCTGCAAATTTGTCAAAGGCACTAATTCCTATTTCTTTCTTTTTACAAGGACGCAGATCCCTTACAAGGACGCAGGGTGTCCCTTTCCAAAACGCCAAAATAGGGCGAAGGGACTCAAAAATAGGGCAAAAATATGGCGAAAAGTTCAAAAATAGGGCAAATGCCCTGTAAATAAGGCAAAAGGGACACCCTGACGCAGGTCACTACACAAGGTTGGTCTGGAAATGACGAAGTTATCTAAAATTGGAAAACTGCCATAATTGGATTCATCGTAAATTACCAACAATCACAAGTCAAAAGAGTAACGACGAAAATTGGAAGCCTTTCCAAACTTGCGAATTTTTTGGAACTTGCGGACTTTATTGGACTCTAATGGAAAATAAAAATAATAAATACCCATTTTTGATTAAGTAACAATTTAAAATTTCAGAACAATTATCTATTGCCTGAGAAAATTCTTTTTCATCGGCAAATTTATTTGTTTGATTAAAAAATTGTTCTGTAAAATTATTGGTATTTTTAATTGATGATAGTCCCTCAAGAGTTGTATTTTCAAACGGAAAATTTTCTTCATCAGACATAAAACTTAAAAAATTAATTAAAAAAATTTTTCTTAAGTGACAAAAAATCCCAAAATGACAAAAAATCCCAAATTTTGCCAAACATTTTTCTATCAAAAAGAAAGCTATTTTAAAGGTGGATAACCTCATGAAACAATTCAAAAAAAATTCCAAAACCTTTTAATTGTTGAAAAAATATCAGGAGATGTGTGATTATTCTTCTTCACATCGAAAATATAAATATTATCAGAACCAATATTCACTAAGAGTTCATTTCCAATTTTGTTAAATTCCAAATTTGTAGATAAAAGGTGTCCTTCTTCGTTTACAGAGAGATGAGCTTAAAATTAAAAAAATTTTAAAATAAAGGTACTTTTTGGATACCCCTCCTCTTAGTTTGAGTCGCATCAGAGTTATCCTTCTAGTTATACCTAATGACCAGAATTGCCTCCTTTTCTTTATTATCTCATTTTAACATGAGCAGGGAGACGAAGTGGAACAAGGAAGGAAGTATCCAGGAGGGGAGGGGGGTATCCAAAAATTTTTTAAAGAATAAACAAACCTGGTAATAACTTCATTAAAGGCTCCTTCATACTTCTTTTGTCATATATTGGAACTAAAGCTGAACTTAAACCAATAGCCAACATCTCACTTGAACTTTCATTTATTGCTAACGACTTTAAAGATCCATAATCTTCAGAAAAATCAAAATCTGTTGTTTTGTTGTCGCGAAGATCGCATTGTCTTTAAATATAAACATAAATAAAGTTAAAAGGAATGACAAAAAAGATAAGTTGAAACATTAGTTTAGGCCTTAACCTTTCAAAAATTATCAAATTAAAGCTTTTTTGATAAAGAAAGATTGAAAGAGGGTTTGTTTGTATATCCAGGCATGCTTACTGATAGGGAAAAATTCGTGGATATCCACAGATGAAATTTTGAAAAAGGAGACGGAAACAGAAATAATCAACCCAAAATTTGTACGAAGAAAAAAAGTAAAAATTGTAGAATAACTGTGAGCATGCCAAGGTATAACATAGAAAATGTATTCCCGCCCAAATAAAAAAAAATTTTTTCTCAAGGGAAGAAAATCCCTATATTCCCCCTCCCCCCCCCCCCCCCCCCAAGACATCTACGCTTTTATTTAAAAAAATCTAAAAATAAAAACAAACTTTAAAACTCCATCTTCAGACACAGCCCAAAATATCCTCGGTTCTTCTTTACAAATTGCCATTTTCTTTACCCTTCCTTTACATTCCCATTTTTGAATATGACACAACGAATCTGATGACATTTGATCCAATTCATGCAATAAAATTAAGCTATCACCCGCTGCCGACAAAAGTAAATGGTCATGTGCATGAGGCACAAATAGAACAGAAAAAATATTATTTGAGTGTAGTGTTTGTAAACGACGAAGTAAGCGACCATTTTGATGCCAAATAATTAAATGTTGGTCATCGGAACCGCTAGCAAGAAGCCTTAAAAAAATTTTTTTTCAATTGAAAAAATTTTTAAAAATTAACTAACGTTCCAGAATCGTTCCATTTTATTGAATTTACACATCCTTCATGCCCCTAAAAATTAGAAAAAATTATGTTAATTTTTTTGATATTTATTAGAACCAAACTAGGGGCAGATCTTGGCTTAAATATAGCTCATAGACCAAACTAAAATAATTGCTTTTGACGTAATAAAAAAAATCCAGGAATCACCCATAAAAGTGTACATAGTGGCTTATTTTAACTTTTAAAGAAAAATAAAAAAATAATTTCCCCGAGCGGATTCGAACCCGCGACCCCTCATGACGTCTAAAATAGCAAACATTCCACTTAACCACATGAAATAGAAGTTGCTCGCCCCGTAAATAATCCGTAATCATGCATAGAAAAAGGTCCCAATTTAAGAACAAAGAAGATCCCCAGTTCAAAAATTAATAAAAAATTTAAAAAAAAACAAACATGTAGGGTGTAGGTGTGTTGAATTGACTTAACATTTGATTCAGTAACAATAAACTTCCTTTTAAAAATTGAAGAAAGACTGGGATCAACTTCTCTTTTTGATGTACTGCAAGGTAAATGTTCACAATCAATCATTTCAATAAATTAAAATACTAAAAATTAAAAAAATTAGCTAAAAAACGAAAAAAAATTTTTTTGTAGGCAAAAAAGATGAACGAAAAATTAAAGTGAAAGGAGTTCCGCGGTAACCCCCGATCCAAAAATTAAATTTTCCAATATATTTTATTCAACTTACCACAAAATCCACCGACTTAAGTAAAATATTTAATATAAATGCGCGTTTTTATTCAGTGGCCAACTGAGGTGGGACAAACTGGGGCTGGGCCGAACTGGGGCTAGCTGGTATAACAAAAGTAAAAAGTATAAATTAACTAATTCAACGCTATGGGCTAATTCTTTGATCATGTAAGAAGACCTTAAATTTCCCAAAATTTCTTGAAATTTACTACACAAATTTAAAAAAGCCTCCATCGATTTTGCAGAAATAATTTCTCCAAATGCAGAAAAGATTTCATGAAGTTTATCAGAATTGATAGCATCGCCAAAATTCTTCACATAAACGTTGGTAAAACGACTAGCAGCATCGCCAATTTGCTTTTCGCGTTGTGAACGAGGAATGAACTTTCCAACAAACCTTTAAAAAGAAACAAAGTTAAAGGGTAAATTCATAAAATTTAAAAGAAACTAACACTTTCTTTCCATCCAAAAGCATTCCATTAACTTTTTCAATAGCCTTATTAGCAGCATCTTCAGTCTCAAAATGAATGAAACCATAACCTTTGCTATTTCCTTCCAAATCACAAGCAACTTTGCAGCTCAAAATGTTTCCAAACATTGAGAAAGTGTCGTAGATAGCTTTGGTGTCGATGTGCTTGTCCAAATTTTTGATGAAAATATTACCAGCACCAGAACGGCGAATACTTGGATCACGTTGAGACCACATGATGCGAATTGGCTTGTTCAGAAGAAGGTCGAAGTTCATCGTATCGAGAGCGCGTTCAGCTAAAAATGAAAGGGATTTAAAAGAAGGGTTGTAGATTTCTCAGGAAATGTGGGGGAGGAAAAATGAGATATTCGGGGAGGAGCCACCAAAGAAGGGAAAAATTTAAAAAAATACCATCGGCAGGCTGCTGAAAGTTGACATACGCATAGCCAAGAGAACGACGCGTAATTGCATCACGGCAGACACGAATGGAAAGAACCGGTCCAGAAGTACTAAACTTCTCGAAGAGCATTGCTTCGGTAACCTAAAAAGAGGAAATAGAAAGGAAATTAAACTGATAAACAAACATCCGGATGAAGATCACCAACATAAAGCGAAGCCATTGGATAAGATGGAGTGTTCAAAACCGGCGCTTGATTTGCAGCAGCAGCATTCGCATTAGCACTAGGCGGTTGCGGAGCGACTGTAGCCGACATTTTTATTATCTAGAAAAACTAAGTTTAGGTGGAATACCAGAAATCAGGGGAAAACTAAGAGATATACTCCTCAGGCTTTTATACACCCTATTAAGAGCTCCTAAGAGTTAAAACAAATTAAAAGTACCCACCTTATTATATCACTGTTTTTGTAATATTTTTTGTTTTGTAGATTTTTTTGAAAATTTTTTTGTTTTTTAAATTTTTTTTGTTGTTTTTATAACGATATATTAAAAGTAACCAGACCCTGAAAATGAAAGAAAGGTGTTAATTTGAAAGAAAAGGGTAAAAAATAACAAGGGAAAATGACGAAGAAATGCTTAAAGGAAAAATGCTCAACGGAAATCGTAAAAGGAAATTAGTAACACGGATAAAATTAACATTAAGAAACGTTAAAGAATCGATGGCGATTGTGAAATAGGAAAGAAGACCAAAAAAGTCTAGCGCTGTGGAAAGAAAAAGCAAAATAAATGACGACGCTTAAAAAGTGCTTTTATATGAATCACAAATTAGAGATTATGGGAAGAAGAGAAATAAAGAAGACAAATCAGAAGAGTACTGTAGAGCTAGAGAGTATGTGAAAAAAGGAGAGAAAATAGAGAAGTAAAGTTGTGAAGGAGATCGTATCGAAACTTTTTTTAAAATTAAATGCAAATTGTTTACTTGGAAAATGTCGGACTTTGAAATTCTAAAAACACGTTTTATAGTCTTAAAAAGGGTCTAGAATTTATTTCCGTAGATTTTTAAAAAATTTCCGCGTGTTTAAAACAAAATATAAATTTAGTTAACGCGTTGTAAAATCAATAGAGGAAACTCCAAACAGTTTTCTAGTCAACTTTAAACTAAAAATTCCTCATTTTAGATAATTTAAAATCTCAGTTATTATTCAATAAATGTCAAACAACAATCAAAACAACAATAACAACAACACAAGACGCGAAAAAGAAAAATTTTTAAATAATCAAAAAGACCCATCACCAATAATTTATGAGCCTGAACTTATGGATGCTGAAGATAGCTTGTTAGAAATTAAATCGACGTTTTGTAACACAGCAAAGAATGGAAATATGATGACTGAAAAGCTGGTTGACACGGTTTTTTTTTAATTTTTTAATTAAAAAAAGACATAAAAATTTTAAAAGGATTTCTACAAGGATTTTGGCGATTTGTTCGACCCTGATGTGAAAATTAAAAATTGAAAGAAGAAAATTTTTTTAAATAAAAAGAGGAGATTATGACGATATTTAAACATTTTTGTGTATTTAAAAAAAGAAATTTTATTTCTCTTTTTTGGCAATAAAAAAATTTAAAAATTATTGAAAGGTTTGAATTTTCTTTTTTTAAAGATAATTATAGTAAGTTAAATTAAAAAAAATATTTTTAAATGTTTATTCAGCCCCTCTTTTTTTAATCACATGTTTTAAGTCTAAAATAACCCTCTTAAAATTTTTTAAAAAATCCAGGAATTAAATTTACCATGCTAAAAATTTTTAAAAATGTTTTTCCGTATAGATTATAAGTTTTGCCAATGGTGGGGTTCGAACCTGCTTCCATCACAATTAGGAAACAAGATGTTTACCGACTGCGCCACAAATAACGTTAAAGAATTTTCTTTTAATTTTGACTACATTCTTTTTTAAAAATATTTAAAAAATGCTTTATAAAAGTCTTTTAAAAATGTGTAAAAGAATTTTAAAATAAAAAATTTTTTTGAAAATTAAAAAAATTCAAAAAAAATTTTTAAAGTATAATATTTAATATAAATATCTAACCTTTCTTTTTTTATAAATCACATTTGTCTACAATGTATCACTTGTTGTTGATTATTATTTACATTTTCGTCATCATCACTTTGATTATTTTCATCAACATTAAATATTCCCATTCCAACAGAATTTATTAATTGCTCCCATATCATTTCTGGTGTTCTTCTCCTTCTATTTTTCTTCATTAAATCATATTTATTTTTTGAAATGTCACGGTCTTCGGTTTCTTCTATTTGGTCTTTTTCTGTTGTTTTCTTTAATGAGGTCTGCAGAAAAAAAAGATTTTTAATGGAAAAACTCGTATAAATTTACACAGAAAGACTGGGATCTCCAACTCTCACTTAATTAAATTCTCCTTCCCCCAATACCTATTAAGAAAATAGAATGTACAAAGAAGACGGGGTCTATTTTTTGCAGATTTTTTTCTATGGACTATTTCTTTTTTCTCTATAATGCGGACGGAACCTTGCGGACTCCTAACCACAATCAGTAACAAAAATCTCATGTACAAAGCAATAGAACCTTATATTCCATGAAAATCTTTCTCCTCGGAGAATTGAAAATTCACCACTAAAAATGACAACAACGCCTCTCCAGTCTACTCTCATCGAAGAAAAATCTCAGATACCCCGTTTCCCTCACAACTCTTAAAAATACCCCTTCCCTAGTCGAAAAGTCCCAAAATTAAAAATAAAAACCGTTGAAGGCTCCCAAAAACGAACAACTTTATCAATTCCAGAACTAGCAATTAAACATCTATCAGGATGTGGTTGAACACAATTAACGGTAAAATTATCTCCCTTAAAGAAATAATTGAGAAAAAAATATTTAAAAAAAATTCAAACCTTTAAAACTTTAACAACTTTTTCAGTTTTTCTTTCCCAAATAAATATTGAGCCACAATCTTAAAAGAAATTTTTTTATACACTTTTAAAGTCAAAATAAATATTTGCGGATAAAACTTGCGGATCTTTAGCCGCAAATTCTTATGAAATTTTTTTGAAAAGAATAGCCAAACCCAACTTCTAGGAATTCAATTTCGAGTTTAAAATACAGTTAAAAATTTGCAAAAAAAATCAAAGATGCCAAAAAGAGAGAAACAGAGGAATTTGCCCAACAAGAGGAAGTGACGACTTACAAAATCAAATCGAAAAACACTTTGTGACCTATTTGGTTTGTATCCCCATTTTTTAAGCCTCAGATTGTTGTCTAACAAAAACTAGAGAGAAAAATCCCTCCTACCAATCTCCTCTAAATAAATAAAAAAAGATAAAAGTTAACTAACCACTTCCAGCAACAATATATTGATCATCCCCACCAAACCAACTAGCTTCTTTAATATCTGTATTTATATTTAAATGTCCAGTAAATCTATCAATATAATCTCTAAAATCATTTAAAGTCCAATTTAAAGATTCATCTGTTAAAAAATAATTTTTAAAGAAAAATAAAAAAATTTAAAAACCTTCTTCTTCACTAATTTTTCCAATAATTTGTTCAGCAGAGGTATCTTCAGGATGTAATTTTTGATAAAATGAGAGGCACTCTTTTGCAAGCTTTAAAAATAGAGGAAAAGGTAAAAATATAAATATTAAATTAATTTATAAAAATTAAAAAAAATTAGTTTTTGTCCGCAAAAATTTTTGTTGTCCGCAAGTTTTATCCGCAAAAATTTTTTTGTCCTTACAATCAGAAAAGCTTTTAAGGCTGTCATTCGTTGAGTTCATGTAACCCTAGTTATGTAACCTTTAAGTAACCTAAAGTAACTATATCTCTTCCCTTACCTTATAAAGAAATATTTTTGCGGACAAAACTTGCGGACTTCGACCACACAAAAAATATTTAAAAAAAACAAACGTTAAATTGATTCAAGGCATACAAATTTTTAATTAAATTTTGATGAGCCATTTTACATTTTGGATTAATTCTCAGAACAGATAAATAATCTTTAATTGCATCAATTAAATCCCCTTTCCAACTTCTTTCCATAAAACAGCGTCCTCTAGTTAATAAACATTGAATTATTAAATTTGAATTATTTAAAATGTGTGAAGATATTCGATCAGAAATAATTTTGTTGGTTGAGGAAAGAGTGAATATTTGTTTTGATAAACTTAAAAAAATAAAAATTTCTTGGGTAAAGTTTCAAAAGTCCGTAAGTTTTATCTGCAAATTTGTCAAAGGCACTAATTCCTATTTCTTTCTTTTTACAAGGACGCAGATCCCTTACAAGGACGCAGGGTGTCCCTTTCCAAAACGCCAAAATAGGGCGAAGGGACTCAAAAATAGGGCAAAAATATGGCGAAAAGTTCAAAAATAGGGCAAATGCCCTGTAAATAAGGCAAAAGGGACACCCTGACGCAGGTCACTACACAAGGTTGGTCTGGAAATGACGAAGTTATCTAAAATTGGAAAACTGCCATAATTGGATTCATCGTAAATTACCAACAATCACAAGTCAAAAGAGTAACGACGAAAATTGGAAGCCTTTCCAAACTTGCGAATTTTTTGGAACTTGCGGACTTTATTGGACTCTAATGGAAAATAAAAATAATAAATACCCATTTTTGATTAAGTAACAATTTAAAATTTCAGAACAATTATCTATTGCCTGAGAAAATTCTTTTTCATCGGCAAATTTATTTGTTTGATTAAAAAATTGTTCTGTAAAATTATTGGTATTTTTAATTGATGATAGTCCCTCAAGAGTTGTATTTTCAAACGGAAAATTTTCTTCATCAGACATAAAACTTAAAAAATTAATTAAAAAAATTTTTCTTAAGTGACAAAAAATCCCAAAATGACAAAAAATCCCAAATTTTGCCAAACATTTTTCTATCAAAAAGAAAGCTATTTTAAAGGTGGATAACCTCATGAAACAATTCAAAAAAAATTCCAAAACCTTTTAATTGTTGAAAAAATATCAGGAGATGTGTGATTATTCTTCTTCACATCGAAAATATAAATATTATCAGAACCAATATTCACTAAGAGTTCATTTCCAATTTTGTTAAATTCCAAATTTGTAGATAAAAGGTGTCCTTCTTCGTTTACAGAGAGATGAGCTTAAAATTAAAAAAATTTTAAAATAAAGGTACTTTTTGGATACCCCTCCTCTTAGTTTGAGTCGCATCAGAGTTATCCTTCTAGTTATACCTAATGACCAGAATTGCCTCCTTTTCTTTATTATCTCATTTTAACATGAGCAGGGAGACGAAGTGGAACAAGGAAGGAAGTATCCAGGAGGGGAGGGGGGTATCCAAAAATTTTTTAAAGAATAAACAAACCTGGTAATAACTTCATTAAAGGCTCCTTCATACTTCTTTTGTCATATATTGGAACTAAAGCTGAACTTAAACCAATAGCCAACATCTCACTTGAACTTTCATTTATTGCTAACGACTTTAAAGATCCATAATCTTCAGAAAAATCAAAATCTGTTGTTTTGTTGTCGCGAAGATCGCATTGTCTTTAAATATAAACATAAATAAAGTTAAAAGGAATGACAAAAAAGATAAGTTGAAACATTAGTTTAGGCCTTAACCTTTCAAAAATTATCAAATTAAAGCTTTTTTGATAAAGAAAGATTGAAAGAGGGTTTGTTTGTATATCCAGGCATGCTTACTGATAGGGAAAAATTCGTGGATATCCACAGATGAAATTTTGAAAAAGGAGACGGAAACAGAAATAATCAACCCAAAATTTGTACGAAGAAAAAAAGTAAAAATTGTAGAATAACTGTGAGCATGCCAAGGTATAACATAGAAAATGTATTCCCGCCCAAATAAAAAAAAATTTTTTCTCAAGGGAAGAAAATCCCTATATTCCCCCTCCCCCCCCCCCCCCCCCAAGACATCTACGCTTTTATTTAAAAAAATCTAAAAATAAAAACAAACTTTAAAACTCCATCTTCAGACACAGCCCAAAATATCCTCGGTTCTTCTTTACAAATTGCCATTTTCTTTACCCTTCCTTTACATTCCCATTTTTGAATATGACACAACGAATCTGATGACATTTGATCCAATTCATGCAATAAAATTAAGCTATCACCCGCTGCCGACAAAAGTAAATGGTCATGTGCATGAGGCACAAATAGAACAGAAAAAATATTATTTGAGTGTAGTGTTTGTAAACGACGAAGTAAGCGACCATTTTGATGCCAAATAATTAAATGTTGGTCATCGGAACCGCTAGCAAGAAGCCTTAAAAAAATTTTTTTTCAATTGAAAAAATTTTTAAAAATTAACTAACGTTCCAGAATCGTTCCATTTTATTGAATTTACACATCCTTCATGCCCCTAAAAATTAGAAAAAATTATGTTAATTTTTTTGATATTTATTAGAACCAAACTAGGGGCAGATCTTGGCTTAAATATAGCTCATAGACCAAACTAAAATAATTGCTTTTGACGTAATAAAAAAAATCCAGGAATCACCCATAAAAGTGTACATAGTGGCTTATTTTAACTTTTAAAGAAAAATAAAAAAATAATTTCCCCGAGCGGATTCGAACCCGCGACCCCTCATGACGTCTAAAATAGCAAACATTCCACTTAACCACATGAAATAGAAGTTGCTCGCCCCGTAAATAATCCGTAATCATGCATAGAAAAAGGTCCCAATTTAAGAACAAAGAAGATCCCCAGTTCAAAAATTAATAAAAAATTTAAAAAAAAACAAACATGTAGGGTGTAGGTGTGTTGAATTGACTTAACATTTGATTCAGTAACAATAAACTTCCTTTTAAAAATTGAAGAAAGACTGGGATCAACTTCTCTTTTTGATGTACTGCAAGGTAAATGTTCACAATCAATCATTTCAATAAATTAAAATACTAAAAATTAAAAAAATTAGCTAAAAAACGAAAAAAAATTTTTTTGTAGGCAAAAAAGATGAACGAAAAATTAAAGTGAAAGGAGTTCCGCGGTAACCCCCGATCCAAAAATTAAATTTTCCAATATATTTTATTCAACTTACCACAAAATCCACCGACTTAAGTAAAATATTTAATATAAATGCGCGTTTTTATTCAGTGGCCAACTGAGGTGGGACAAACTGGGGCTGGGCCGAACTGGGGCTAGCTGGTATAACAAAAGTAAAAAGTATAAATTAACTAATTCAACGCTATGGGCTAATTCTTTGATCATGTAAGAAGACCTTAAATTTCCCAAAATTTCTTGAAATTTACTACACAAATTTAAAAAAGCTTTGTAAACTTACAATTAGGCGATTTTCCCCCATTTTCCAGTTTTCATAATTTCTATTGACGTTATGCCAACACTTTTTAACATTATGAAATTTTTCTTTTTACATAATTTCAAAATGTAAAATTTTGTTTCAACAATTGATTTTTCACTTGTTAAAGTTTTACTATTTATGTGCCGACTTTAAACATTTTTTTTATTTTCTCATTCATTTTTTATAATATTAGTTTCTTATTTTTATAGACTTAAAGTCATCCGTATATTTTTGGTTCTACAAATGGTGAGAGGAAATCGTCGGTTTAACCGTCCGCGTCGCATTGGACGAAGAATTCCTTTATCTGCTCAAATGCGTGAACTACGTCGTTTAATTACAACCGGTTTTAACAACATCAATACTCGTTTTAACGACGTCAATACCCGTTTTAACGACGTCAATACCCGTTTTGACGGCATTGATGCTAGCCTTAACGGCCTTAATCAACGTTTTACGGGTGTTAATGAACGGTTGGACATTCTCGGTCAACGTGTTGATACTTATCGTGAGGGCCTCAATCTGCGTTGTGATGTTATGACTGCACGCTTAAATAACATTGACGCTCGATGTCAGTGTGGGGTGGACCAGCCGGTGATTAATGCTAATTTGGTGTGTAATGAGAATTTGTCCAATACTCAATCAAGTGCATCTTCAACTCCGCCTTCAAATTTCCGACTTGACTATGGTGGTGAAGGGCGAGGTGTACGTATTTTGCCATTTCAAGTTTCCTGCCATTCCAAAAAATCAAAATGCTGCAGTGCTGCAAAAACTAAGGTGCAATTCATCGAAGAGTTGGCTGAGTAAGTGATTATTAGAAAATACGTGATTACCGATCAAATTTAGTCAATCTGATAATATTATCTTGAAACCTTACAATGCAAACATTCGTTCTCCTGACCCTGACCAAGGTTAGATTAATCAAAAAAAATTTTTTTTCAAAATTTATTTTTAGCTGAGCTTTTTCTCAGGCGAATTTTGTTTTATGGTGGTGTTTTGGATAAATCTCTTGGCGAAATGCCGTTGGATGAATATTTTGCGAAAGCTTTGGTTATTAAGGTTTTTTTAAGTTTTACTTTTTTATATTTTTACCCTTTTTAAGAATTCTTGCATTGGTTGGAAGCTTGTTGGTGTGGTTGACATTCCCTCCAAAAAATTGCCAGCCCAAGTTTTTTATTTTGATGCTGAGGGTGTTCGAAAGTTGATTGAGCAGTGTGATAAGGTTTTAATTTTGAAAGTTCTGTTTTTTTGGGTGAAATAGGGATTAGAGGTTTTAAACAGTCAATAATGCTGTTGAGTTCATCTGACTTTTTACTGGACTAGACTTTTTTAGGGGTTTCCGTTCATCCATAGTTTAGGAGTTTTTTCTCGTATTTGGCAATTTAAGTGATTTTTTAGATTACTCCAATTGGCCGCTTAGATGTTGGAAAGTTGGGGAAACAGGCACGTCTACAGTTGACTGGAACTCCTCCTTTGCGTTCTAATTTGGTTTCTGTTTTGGATTCTCAAACGGTTTATAATTTTTTTAATTTTTTGGGGTGATTCTCAGATTTGCGGATAAGACTTGCGGACAATTCGTTTGAGTAGGGGGCTATAGGGAAGTAACTAATCCGCAAAATCTGTCTGATATTTTCTCCTCAATTTATTCAATTTTAGAAACGTGTGGCTATATTGGACTTGTCAGCAGTCTGTTCAGGAAGCTCTCAACAGAAACAACAAAATCGTTATATGCTTGTTTGCTTCGATGGCGATTTGGATAGTCAAAATATTAAGGATTTGGATGATTTATTGACAAACGTTGGGGCTAATGTATTTCTTTTTAATTTTTTTCTCTATTTTATTCACATATTTCAGTTTATGAACTTGATGGAAGCCGGGGCTGATGCTATTATGCCAGCTTTGGATTTTGACCAGAAGAGGAAATAACGAGTTGATGGAATTTTGGGTTATATATAATATATAAAATTAGACTAAATAAGAAACCGCTAAAAATATCTCATTTTATAAGACCTCTATATTAAAAAATTTACTTAAAACAAAAATACAAAAGCCTTTAAAAAATTTTTATATTTATTTACCGAGTTTTTTCATTTTCAAAAATGTTTTGAGAATGTATTTTTTTCTATTCATTTCTGAACATATTTTGTTTAAATGTCTTTATTCTCTAAAAATGTATTTTCTGGAAAGTTTTTTATTTTTTTCTGTATTTTTCATCTAAATTTATCCGGAAAGTATTTTTTTTATTTTTTACGAGGTAATGTGTTTTTCGACTTTATTTCTCTCCGCAAAAATTTTCAAATATTTTTACTCTTTAAAAATGTATTTTTTCTAAATAGAATAAATATAGAGAATTTTTAATGGTTAAAAGAAGGGGCAATTTTAAGCTAAAATATTGGGCATAAATCCAACGCAAAATATTAAAATAGAATTTTTAAAATTTGGAAAAAAAAATTAAACAAAAAAATTTTTTTATTCTTTAACATTTTCACAACAAATTTTTTCTCCATTAATTACAACAAGTAAATTATAAAAATCTTTTTTACTCCAAAATGTTGCTGGTTTCCAACCACACCAACCCCCAGCCAAAATATCATCAATATTGTCTGTTCCAGTATAATGGGGGTCTAACACTAAATATTGGCAATTACCAAGTCGAGGATTGTAATCAATTCCAATTATTGTATGGGCAAGTTGGCCACCACCTTTTTTAAGGAATTTTTTAAATTATTTTTCTTTGTGATTACCCACATTTCTCATAAAAATATGGGTATTTTTCGGTTTTGTTACAACCCCCCCCCCCTCTATATCAATGCTCAAAATGTCAAATATAGGGTAAAAAAGGGTGCTGAATCGAACAGTGCCCCTCTTTCCCCTGGAGAGCCTGTGGACCGAGATATAGGGATCGAAATGGTCAAAAACCATAGGGTCATTTAGGGGTAAAAAAATTCCAGCTCGTCTATGAAATAACAATAAGACGAGGAATTTCGTGAAAAAAAAGAAAAAAAACATGGGAATTTCCGAGGATTTTTTGGTCAATTTTTTCGTTTAAAAATTTATAGAACCCGGAAAGTGATTAAAATTTGAAAAATAAAAAGTAAAATAACCAATCATAACAGGAGCACCACCATTCTCAAAATGAAAAATTAAAGCTCTCGCATGTTCTGCCAAATCTGATCCACTTTTTGAAGTTAAAATTTTTGAAGTAATATTAAACATATTTTGAAGACAAAAACTTAATTCTAATGAACCAATCCATTTTTTAGACCCAACAAAATTTGAAGGTTTATCACCAATATCAACTAAACACTGAAAAAGAAATTAAAAATGTTCGAGATTCCTTTCATTTATGCTCAAAATGTCCGCAAATGTTGTCCGCAATTTGTACTAATTTATTTTATTTATAGGGCAAAGGTAAATGTATGAGAATTTTTATTCTCCTAAAAAAGAAAAAACCCTAGAGCGAGATGGGAAGAAAATGGGAACAGGATCATTGTGTACCTGGCCGTTTGTATACCCACCCAAAGGGGGACGTTTGTGTACCCGCATTATTTCTATTAGATTTTTCGTGCCATATTTTATAGACTAAATCTGAGTCTGTGGATTTTTCCTAGGCTATAGGATGATGCTCCTGTCCAGATAAGCAAGTTAAATCGAGGAGCATTTAAACATGATCTCTAGTTTATAGTCAAAGAAATCCCCCAGGAGGCTCCAAAAATGTCTTAAATGAGTGTACAGAAAAATGTCTGAACACAAAATCTAGTTCAATCGGGTCCAAAAAAATTTTTTTTTAAATCAGAGGAGATCCCAAGCAAAAATCAAATAAAAAATTTAAATCAAAACCTTTTGTATCTCTCTATGACTGGGAATATTTTTATCAATATATCCTTGTAATTTTAGCCAAGAACAAACAGTTTGGAATGATCTATAAGCACAACCCCAACCAGAGTCATCAAAATTGTTTTGTCCATAATGAAAATAGCCATACTTGCCTGATACAATTGCACATTTATTTTTGGATTGGACTTGAAAGGAATGAAAATTGGAGAAATTTAAAAAGGAAAACCTTGAAGAGTTTCGTGTGGATTATAAATTAAAGTTGGAAATTCTTCTAGATCCTGAGTCGTTGACATTTAAAGATAAGAACAAATAGGAAGAAAAATAAATAAAAAATAAAAAAAATAATCTCAAAAATATGAGAGATTATTAGAAATTATGATACTGGAAAAAGAAAAAAAGTAAATTTCCTAAAAATGACATTCTATCCGTGCCCGCTCAACTCATCTAATCCTTAACTCATCCACACGCCCAAAAATGCTCAACTCATCTAAACGGCTAAAATTCCTTAACTCATCCACACGGCCAAAAACGCTCAACTCATCCAATCCTCAACTCATCTAATGCTTAACTCATCTACACGGCCAAAAACGCTCAACTCATCCAATCCTCAACTCATCTAATGCTTAACTCATCTACACGGCCAAAAACGCTCAACTCATCCAATCCTTTGGAACGAGACTATTGAGTACCAGTCGTTTGAGTCCCTGGCCGTTTGAGTCTCTGGCCGTCTGAGTCCATGACAAGTTGAGTCCCTGGCCGTTTGAGTCTCTGGCCGTCTGAGTTCATGACCAGTTGAGTCCCTGGCCGTTTGAGTCTCTGGCCGTCTGAGTTCATGACCAGTTGAGTCCCTGGCCGTTTGAGTCTCTGGCCGTCTGAGTCCCTGGCCGTTTGAGTCCATGACCAGTTGAGTCTCTAGCCGGTTAAGTCCCTGGTCAGTTGAGTCCCGGCCGTTTGAGTGGTTGATTACCACCGGTTGAGTCTTGGGCCGGTTGAGACTCAACTGACCAGGGACTCAACCGGCTAGGGACTCAACCGGCCGATATTTCAAGGATTGGATGAGTTGAGCGTTTTTGGGCGTGTGGATAAGTTAAGCATTAGATGAGTTGAGGATTGGATGAGTTGAGCGTTTTTGGGCGTGTGGATGAGTTAAGCATTAGATGAGTTGAGGATTGGATGAGTTGAGCGTTTTTGGCCGTGTGGATGAGTTAAGTGTTAGATGAGTTAAGGATTGGATGAGTTGTAGGGTAGCCATTCTATCCAAAATTAACGGCTCCTATACAACTCATCGAATCCTTAACTCATCGAATCCTTAACTCATCGAATCGGCCAAAAACACTCAACTCATCGAATCCTTAACTCATCGAATCCTTAACTCATCGAATCGGCCAAAAACTATCAACTCGTCGAATCCTCCCAAAAGGGGACGTTTGAGTCCCAGTGTTTATTTTTTAGATTTTTTATTGTTTTGTTTATTTTTTTTTGTTTTTCTTCTGGGGTTTCAACTGATTTTGTTAATTAGTTGATCGCTCACTCATCCAAGTCTATCCGGTCAGTGAAAACATTCTCAGATCCTGGTAAATTATGCTGGAGATCCTGGTAAATTATGATCTCATTCCTGGTAAATTATGCGGAGATTCTGCGGAGATTCTACCGGGTAAAACCGGACCAGATTAATCCAGTAGGCCCGGATTGTGCCCAAAAGGACTTTTTCCTAGCCTCCAAAGCAGCACAAAAATTTTTTCAACGAAGATTCAGCTAGCCCTTTTGGGAGAAAAATTAACACGGGGACTCAAACGTCCCTTTTTGGGAGGATTCGATGAGTTGAGCATTTTTGGCCTAGTCGATGAGTTAAGGATTCGGTGAGTTAAGGATTCGATGAGTTAATAGTTTTTGGGCGATTCGATGAGTTAAGGAATTTTAGCCGTTTCGATGAGTTGAGTGTTTTTGGCCGATTCGATGAGTAAAGGATTCGATGAGTTGAGGGGACACGAAATTAACGTCTCTAACCTTAATGATAATTAGAGAAACAAAATTTTGTTTTTTAATAAATTTGTGGGTTAGTAACGAAGAGAGAGCGAGATATGGGAAGAAAAGAAATTTGATAAAAATGACATTTTATCCTAATTTTCGTGTCGAAACAAAATTATACTCTAACCTTAATGATAATTAGAGAAAAAAATTATATTTTTTAAATAAATTTGTGTGAGAGAGTATAGTAAAAGAAGAGAGTGCTTATGATAAAAAGAAAAAAAATTAGTGGGGTAAAATCAATTTTATGTTCTATTTATTTCTTTCTAGTTTTGTCAATTGAAGCAAGTGATAATTCCTTTCATCGTTTAATCTCTTAAATCTTGTTTTGCTTATTTACAGGAGTTTTAAAAAAAATATTCCAGTGATCAATCACCATTTTAAATAATGATAGAAGCTAAAACAAATTTAATAACATTTATTTTTTGAAAAATTTGATTACATGGGCAATTGTTTGTCAAGATCGAAGAGAAGAGTAGCTAAAGCTGGATTGGATGAACAAAATGCAAATAATATTTTCTCCAAGACTTCTAACAATCAAATGGTTTGCTCATCTTATCAATACAGGTATTTCAATTACTTTTTGGGACTTTGGTGTAGTGGGATAGCGTTAGGTTTTTGACATTAAGTGGTTGATGGTTCGAATCCCTCTCTCTTGTCAGTGTCTATATTTTTTAATTTATTGAAAATGAGTAGTTTTCTCTAGCAATACAGTTACCTTCTCCTTGATATTTTGGTGTAGTGGGATAGCTTTAGGTTGTTGACCATGGGTGTTCGTTGGTTCGAATTCTGTCATGGTCCTTATTTTTTGAGTTGTTGAAAATTAAGTGTTTATCTGCTAAATGTTTTTAAATAGATCTTTATATTCTAGATCTGACTCCAAAACTTTTCCCGATGCTTTTACCAACATAATTGACACTAATCAGAAATTGCTTGGGCAGCAGGAGGCAGCAAATGTAAATAGTGATTCTTCCAAAAATGAGCATAATCGTAAATTTTTATGATAAATTTAAAAATTTAAAAAATATTTCAGCTTCCCCAGAAAAATTAATTGCAATGTT